AAAGCGCTGGCCGCTCAGTCATGTCTTTGTGACCCCAGGGCTATAGCCCTCCAGGCTCCTCTGTTCATGGGACTTTCCAGGCAAGAATACTGGAGTCGGTGGTCACTCCCTTCTCCAGGGGATCGTCCTGACCTGATCAAACCCAGGTCTCCTGCATTACAGGCAGATTTCTTACACTCTGAACTCCTAGGGAACTAAAAGAACAAATATAAAAAACTGTTCTGCTATCCCCAATTTTTGTTACCCCATTACCTCAAATAGACAACTGCTGGTGTCTTGCCATAGTTACTTCAAGCTTTTAAAAAATCGAGTAACTAAAATATTGTAGATAAATTTGAAGTTCTCTTTGCCTTCTCTTTCCTCTCTCTTCATTTTTCTCTTCTTATCTCAGAGGCAACCAACATTCTGAGTTTATGGTATATCTTTTTAATATTTTTAACACAGTTTTATACAAGCACACACATCCAGGAATAATATGTACCACTGTGATGTGTGCATTTTTAGCTTGTTTAAATGGTATACTTTTGAGTGTATATTTCTGCAACTTGATTTTTTAAACTCTGTATTTTGTTTCTCATATCTGTGTCATTGTATGTGTTTCAGTTTATTCTCTTAAAGTGGCTCACAGCATTCCTTTCAGTAAATATTACCATTATTTCCTTATTCTATTATTGATAGGCTATTTCCAAAACTTGGTGTTACAAATAGTGCTTAAAAAAAGAAAAGACTGTTCTTATCACCTTACATACATGGTTTATCCATTCATCAGTTGAAAAACATCTTGGTTGCTTCCAAATTTTTGTAATCATGAGCAAAGCTACTATGAACATTCATGTGCAGGTTTTTTTTTTTTTAAGAGTTTTACTTTTTTTTTCCATTTATTTTTATTAGTTGGAGGCTAATTACTTTACAATATTGTAGTGGTTTTTGTCTTACATTGACATGAATCAGCCATGGATTTACATGTACTTGTTTTTAAAGTTTTAACCTCCTTTAGAAATGCATTTTTCAATGGGGGTAAGAGTCCAGAGAACTGCGCTTCTAGCCTCTAGCCTCTGGTGGACTAGTGATTGGGATTCCTGGTTTTCAGCCAGGCTGCCCAGATTCACTTCCTGGTTAAGGAATTATGGTCTCTCTTCAGAAACACTCTCTATTCTCTCTCTGAGGTCAATACTAAGAGATACCCTAAGGAATCTCTATTGTGGAGTAGCAGTCCAATTTCTCCTTGAAGTCAGGACAATCATCCCAGCTAGCACAATAATTCTCTTCTTTTTCCTGAAGAGTTAGGAGCCCAAAGTGGCTGGACAGCAGTTTTAACCTTCTGTTCAATGGAATCATTATTTTGTCTCCTGGTGGAAATATTCCTCCATGTAGAACTAAGACTTCCAGACCAATAGACTTAAGGTCACAAAGACAGTAAGCAAACTTTTTGCTAGTGGGTCACTGAGGAGAATAATAANAGAGTGTTTTGCCTATGTTCTCCTCTAGGAGTTTGATAGTTTCTGGTCTTACATTTAGATCTTTAATCCATTTTGAGTTTATTTTTGTGTATGGTGCTAGAAAGTGTTCTAGTTTCATTCTTTTACAGGTGGTTGACCAGTTTTCCCAGCACCGCTTGTTAAAGAGGTTGTCTTTTTTCCATTCTATATCCTTGCCTCCTTTGTCGAAGATAAGGTGACCATAACCTTATCTTCGACATGTGCAGGTTTTTGAGGACAGGTATTCAACTCTTTTGGGTCTTGGAAGCATGGAGTCTTAACCACCACTGAACTTCCATGGAAATCCATGGCTCACAGCAAAATAGAGAGGAAAGTACAGAGATTTCCCATATATCCCTTGCCCTTACTTTGGCGTTACCTTCCTGTCATCAACACCCACCCCCCACCTACCCACCCGGCAACACAGTGGTACATTTGTTACAATTGATGAACTTCCATTGAAAGATCATGATCACTCAAAGTCCATAGCTTACTTCATGGTTCACTCTTGGTGTACATTCTACAGTTTGGACAAATGTATAATGACATGACATGCATCCACAACTACACTGTTAAACAGAGTATTCCCACTGCCTCAAAATCCTCTGTTCTCTACCTATTTATCCTTCCCTTCCCACAACTCCTGAAAACCACTGATCTTTTCACTGTCTCCACAGTTTTGCCTTTTCCAGAATGTCATGTAATTAAAATCATACAGCATGTCCTTTCACATTGTCTTCTGTCACTTTGTAATATGCATTTAAATTTCCTTTTTGTCTTTCCTGACTTGATGGCTCATTTCTTTTCAGCGTAGATGATAAACCACTGTCTGGGTGTACCACAGTTTATTCATTCACTCACATGTTGAAGGATATTGACTGCTTCCAAGTTTGGGAAGTTATGAATAAAGCTGCTAGAAACATCAGTGTACAAGTGTTTGCATGTTGCTCTCTGTTTTAATCTAGGTTGAGAAGCAATTTGTCATAAACTCGCAGTGAGTGGCTAGTTTTGGTTTCTATCTATTGGGTTAGGGAGGAAGAAAAACAGTTCAAATAATGGACTTGAGTTTCCATCAAATACCAGGTCCTTCAATTTATTTCTAAATATCTCTCAACTGTTTGTTTCTCTTCATATCCACAGTCTCTAGTACACACCACCATCTTTTCTCATTGGACTATTGAAATAGCGTCCCCAAAGTTCTCTTCCACAACTACTCTAGTCTCTTCCAATACATTCTCCACACTGAAGCTAGAGGGAACTTTGTAAAAAAAAAAAAAGTATACGCACACACACACACACACACACACACATATACACACACACACCGAGTACTTCTGATGCTATGCCTTCCTGCTAAAAATCCTCCAGTGGCTTCCCATTACCTTCAGGATAAAGTCCGAGCCCTTAAGGGGGCCTGCCAGCCAATGTACAGGTGACTTTTGATCCCCTTTCTAGCCTCATTTCCTCCCTCTCCGTCCCTCCATCTCAGCGTTTCAGACACTCCGCCCTTTGAACCTGACATATTCCTTCCTACTTCCTTCTGGAAAGTTTTTTCCACCCTTCTTCACCTGATTAACTCTTCAGCTCATTTACACTCTTCAGATCTTAATTCAAAATATTACTTTTTCTAGAAAGCCTACTCTGAACCCATCCGCCTTCCAACTGCCATATAAGGAAGGACAGTTTCCATTCTAAGCATCCCTGGCATTCTGAACTATCATTTGTTTAACAGTGAGCTTCGGTAAGCAATGAGTATTTTGAGAGCAGAGACCGTGTTTGTTTTGTTCACCACTGTCTACTCTGGATTTAGCACAGTGATTGGCAAATAATAGATGTCCACTAAACAGCTGTTAAGTAAATGCAGTATTGCTTATTATTAAGAATTGGGAGCAAGGGAAATGTTAACGATCGAGAAATGTCCAGTTCATTAATATTGTATGTACTTGATGAAAAATTTTATTGTCTTTAAGACGTATAATTAGAAATATAATGACTTCAAAGGTTTACAGAAGTGTTCATGATAAAAGCAGAATGCAAAACTCTTCATCTGACGCTTACAATCTGTTAAAAAAAGTCTGTAATATTATTACGATCATAAGAGATAAAGGAAAAATAGGTGAAAGAATTATTGAGTGTCGTAATGTTCATGAAATATATGACAATACTGAATTTTGTAGCAGGCCATAGCTTTTCATGTGTCAAACACTTTATATCTAATAATGTAGAAATTATATGATTTTGAAGTTTAAAAAAGCTCTCCAGTAAACACAATGGAGCCAGGCACTTAAAAGTTTTCCTTGTTATAACTGCCCTGATACTTTTATTCTGTTATTGATTTATCTGAGCTCTCAATTTTTAAATCAAACCAATTTTGCTTTTCTGCCTATTGAAAAAGAAATGTACCAGACATTTCCCTTTATTGGTTTTCTTTTAGGTCTTAAAGGGAGAAGAAAATATTAGGAGTTCTGAAGCTTTCCATGCCATATAAAATGATCCAGGCTTACTAGATGATAGAAGGCAGTTGCTGATACGATATCAGTCACTGATACCAGTTGCTGATAATAGTATGCTTCCCAGGTGGCTCAGTGGTGACGAATCCACCTGCCAATGCAGGAGTTGCAGGTTCAATCCCTGGGCTTGGAAGACCCCCTGGAGCAGGACATGGCAACCCACTCCAGTATTCTTGCCTGGAAAATTCCATGGACAGAGGAGCCTGGCTGCAGTCCATGGGGTCACAGAGAGTTGGACACGATGAGCACACATGCAAACACAATACTTGAGAGCAAATATCCATATGAATAAACATCAAAACTTTGAAGTCCACATGTCTCCAGTGGCGTTTTGTATAAATAACCTGACAAGAACACCTTAAAGGTTATAAAATACAGAATAAGATATGTATAAATATAAAATATATCACAAGGAACATATCAGATAAATGAGTAAGATTGTGAATGACATGGCCTTCTAATAATTTACTGCTCAGAATTCTGTTTCCTTGCTACACCTGTATCAACAACCCTTCTATTTGTTCAGAGCTCCTTTTAAATAATAAAGATGCTAGGAGCTTGGGATTAACATACACACACTACTATATATAAAACAGACAATTGACAAGGACCTGCTGTTTAGCACAGGGAACTCTACTCAATGTAGAGTACCCTATGTGGAAAAAGCATCTGGAAAAGAATGATATCTATATATGCATAAGCGAGTCACTTTGATGTACACCTGAAACTTACACCACATTGTAAGTCAACTACACTTCAATAAAATTCAAAATAAATAAGATGCTAGTGGCTTATCTAAAAAACAAAAATCAAACAAGCAAAAAGCAAAACAAATGAAAAAAAAACTCTCAATCTTGTTAATTAATCAAATAATTGCTTTTTAATTTTCCANTGAAACTTACACCACATTGTAAGTCAACTACACTTCAATAAAATTCAAAATAAATAAGATGCTAGTGGCTTATCTAAAAAACAAAAATCAAACAAGCAAAAAGCAAAACAAATGAAAAAAAAACTCTCAATCTTGTTAATTAATCAAATAATTGCTTTTTAATTTTCCAACTTTCTTCTGCCCGTCCATCTGTTATTCCTGTTCTTTTGTGACCTGGTTTTTCCCTAAATTCTTTAAATGTTGATGCAAATCATTTTATTTAAATTCTCTCTCTTACCGTGACAGACATTTAGGGCTATGAAATTTTCTCCACATACCATTTAAACCACATCATGGTAATCTGATGGGCCCTAAACCATAAATCTCCAATAGTCATGTTCTTTGTGTCTTTCACAGCAGTTAGTGTGCCCTTGGTGAGTGCCCATTAGATGTTTCCTGTGCTAAAAAAATTAATAAATGAAACATTTGAATGTATGCTTCAGTATATAATCAAGCAAAAGAATGAAAAAAAAAATGACTGTCTAGGTTGCAGCACAACCCTGAGTCTTAAGCGCTGTCTCCTCACTATGGTACTGTTGAGTTTTGTTTATTTGCTCAATCACTCCCAAATACAAGTTTTTTTGGATCATGAAGTCTTAGAATCCATTATCCTTTTCTTCCCCATTTCTCAGATCCACTCTCTGCCCTGGCCATCTTTGTTTTGTTAGAATGCATAGTCCAAAAGTTCAACCACTTTGGTACTCCAAATTCATATGCCCTTACTGTCCTTGAAAAATTTTTGGAGGTAAAAGTTTTCATTTTTATGTCATGAGTAATTTCAAATTTACAGGAAAAAAATAGAGAACAATATAATGAACACTAGTTTGTCCACCACCCAGTTAATAGATGAAATCAATTTTAAAACTTTTTTAGATACTTTTCAAATATACACAGAGGTAGAGAGAAGGCAAGGAGAGTGAATCTCCATTTATCAATCACCCACCTTCAATAATCATGGATTTTTTTTTTTTTTTTTTTGCCAATAAGTGGTACTGTTAACCACTCAATTGCCCAAGCCAAAAATCCAGTTACTAAATTTTAATCCTTTCTCCTGATCTCTAGCTGGTCAATACAGAGCCGTGTTAATTTTTCTCAATATATTCTAAATGTCTCTCGGAAACATTCACACTTCTTCATTCCCACGGCCCCTACATACTGTGGCACAGGCTACCATCATCTGTCACTCAGGTTACTGCAAAACCGTCCCTACTGGTTTACTCCTCTCGAATTAGTTCTCCCTCTGTAAATAATGTGCCCTCTGCTCTTAAAAATTAATCATGCAATAAAATTTACTTCTGGGGTGTGCAGTTCTATGACTTCTAGCACATGGATTCATATAATTACAACCACAATCAGGATACAGAACAGTTTCATCACCCCCGACAAACTCCACTGTGTTATCCCTTGAAGTTACCCCTTCCAATTACCCCTTCCCTCCCTATAACCCTTGGCAACTATGGATCTGTTCATCAGTAATGTGTCTTTTACAATGTCCGTGTGCTCATGTCACTCCCTTCCTTAAAATGCTTCTTCGGCTTTCTATTGTTGTAAGCCCTTTTCTAACTCTCAGGTCTCCTCTCACCACTTCTCATCTCCCATTCTCTGTCACTGTTTTTTTTCCAGCACAGTGTAAACTTTAAAAAAGTTTTATTTTATTGAAGTATAGATGCTTCACAAAGTGATTTCGTTATACACACTTTAAAATAAATTAATAAATGCATTTTTGTGTACTATGCCATCTACTTCTTCACCAACATGAGATATGTGTTTTAATGGTTTCAGTTGCAGAATAAACATGGAGAAACATTCACGTTTGGCGATAAAATCGTCTTACTCAGACTTGGTCATCAATGTAGGAAAAGTAACTCTTGGTGAAAGTAACAGAAAAAAGCTGCAGAAAGTTCAGAGAGAGAAAGAGAAGGTGAAAGTGATCCAGGCTGCATGTGCTTTATTAAACTCAGGAGGAGGAGTGATTCAACTGGAAATGGCAAACAACGATGAAAATCTCGTGGAGATGGGACTGGATTTAGAAGCAGCTTTGAGAACACTTATTCTGTTTTCAAATCTGCAAGTTTTCTTCAAGACAAAGCAACAAGGGAAGTGTTACTACATTTTTGTGAAGTCTTGGAGCACCGACACCTTCCTTGAAGACATTTCTGTTAAGCCCCGCATTTGTAGCCTGAGTTCTTCGTTATACTGTAGATCTGGCACTTCTGTGTTTCTCATGGATTCAGGAAAGGCATTCAGTTTCCTGAAAACCAAGAAAACAAATGCAAAAAGCTCAGGGAAAGAACCTTCTCGTGAAATTTCCAAGGTTATACATCCAGACCTCCATGACGTGGATCCTACTTACTGTGTTTTTCAAAAAGACCATTTTGAACGTGGTGAAGTCATGCCTTTTCCCGAGTCTCAATTCATAGAGTTTAAGCAGTTTGCTACAAAACACATTGAACAATATACGAAAGACACGATTTTAGAGTATATCCCTGCATTTGCAAACACTGAAGGAGGCTATCTTGTTATCGGTGTGGATGATAAAAGTAGGAAAGTTCTGGGATGTCCTAAAGAAAATGTTGACCGTGACTCTTTGAAAAAGAAAATAGAAGAAGCAATACAAAAGTTATCTTGTGTCCATTTTTGCCAATGTCAGTGCCAGATAGATTTCACAGTCAAAATCTTGGATGTGTTAGACAAGGGAGAGTTATATGGCTATGCTTGTGTGATCGGAGTGAAGCGATTCTGTGGTGCAGTGTTCTCAGGTGTTCCCAGTTCCTGGATGGTGAAGGGTAAGGATGTCTGCAGCCTGACAACTGAGGAATGGCTAAGCATGATGGTAGATACAGATCCAGGTAAGATGGAAAAAAACTCCCTTCCTGTCTTTTCTGCCTCTTCAGAAACTCCAATTAAACATATTTGCCATGACTTTGAACTTCTCGCATCCATTAAACTCTGTGTTTTTTGAATCTTCAAGTATCCTACTTTCCAAACATGAGAAAATTTGGCTGGGTGATGACAAGCCTGAGTCCAGTGTCTTATAATGGGCAATTTCCCACATCAGATGAAAAGAAAATTATTTGGGGATGATTGCCTTGCAATCATTGTATTGGAATGATTGTATTGGAACTGACTCTTGCTGTTTATTAAGATTTATTAAATTTTCAGGATTGTTGTGAGCCAGTTGTTAAACAGTCATTATTAAAAATCAAGTTATACAAACAAAAATCAAGTTATACAAACAAAAATCAAGTTATACAGTTCCATAAATTATATTTAAAACCAATGCAGTAAATAAAAAACCCAATTATTTATAATACTATATTTTAAGATGATGTGTGTGAGGTTATTTACATCTATTGTATCTGCATGATGGAATTACTCTAAAATGATGTGTTATGATGCATGTCTCCCCGACTCTGCATTTAGTGACATCATATTGGTAGCTTGAAATTGTCCATCGTGGGAATATTTACACCATAGATACATGCATAGATAAGTGTACTAAAAGAATGTTCTATGTACCATAGAAGAAATAAAAACAAAATGCTATTCAGATACAGAGAGTGGAGACTTATATTGAATGGAAACACATCAAACTTCCAAATAACATCTCTCTTATGGTTTTGGCAACTTTCATATGCAAAAAAGGCACTTGCTTATACAGGGTGAATGGGGTGTTTTCTTGCTATTATGTCTCAAATCATGCCTAGGCGGCCATACAATATACCCACTCATAAAGTCTTTTTCAATGGTGAAGTGATGAACTAACATGTCAGAATAACATGAATTTCCTTTCTTTGTTAAGATCTAAGGCAGCTGTGCAAAGACTTTGAATCTCAGCTGAGCCTGTCTAACAGCCCTCCTCAGAGCAGACCAGTGTACTCCAAGAAAGGTCTGGAACATAAGAAGGATCTCCAACAACTTTTATTTCCAGGTAGCAACAATGGTTTGCCCACTTCACACCAGCCAGTTTCTGTGTTAGTAGAAGGGGAGATAAACTGTTATGTTTGTTATTTAAAGTCCCGAAAGTACACTCTGCAAAACCTATGTGTTCAAGGTAATGGTGCTACAAACATATTGATGATAAGTAGTTTAGAAATGAACCCTCACTGACCTCATTCACTGAGGCAGTATCACGTATAGAATCCAGGAAGATTATTGCTCTTAACGACCTTTTGGTCTTCTTAAATAGGACTGATCATCAGTATTTCTGGTTATTTTTAAAAGTACAGATACCTGGCTCCACACTCCAGACTTCATAAATTAAAATACCTGAAGAGAGAACCTTATAATGTTCATTTTTTCAAGCTACTCACACTATTCTGACCCTCATCCATTTTGGGAACTTTTGATCTAGTTGAAATAGAGACACACATTGAACTAAGGGCAAATTACCGAAGTAAGGGCAAATTACCTCTACCGAATTTACCAGAGGAGTGCCAGTTATGAATATGAAGATATAAGATTTATATCAAGATGGAACACAAAACAAATACAGTGAAGATCAATTACAACATGCGTCAGCATGTTTGGGTTTGAAAGTGAAAGTTAAGTTACTCAGTTGTGTCTGACTCTTTGCGACCCCCTGGACTGTAGCCCACCAGGCTCCTCCGTCCATGGGATTCTCCAGGCAAGAATACTGGAGTAGATTGCCATTTCCTTCTCCAGGGGATCTTCCCGACCCAGGGATCGAACCCATTGTGGGGGGCGTCTCCTGCATTGCGGGCAGATGCTTTAACCTCTGAGCTAGGTTTAGGACAGCACAAAATCATGTTTCAGGACCAAGGATAGCATCTGTTCTCATTCCTCGCTCCCAACATGTTAGGTTTTACCTATGAGTCCGTTGCTGTCCTCTTTCTATACTTCTAGAGAGGAAAAACCACTTGATCAGCTATATGCAGTAAGTTAATGGCTTATCTGGCACTAGAATCTGATACATAAATGTCCTTTTGTTGTTATTTAGTCGCTAAGTCGTGTCCAACTCTTTTGCCACCCCGTGGACTGTAGCCTGCCAGGCTCCTCTGTCCATGGGATTCTCCAGGCAAGAATACTAGAGTGGGTTGCCATTTCCTCTTCCAGGAAATCTTCCTGACCAGGCTCCTCTGTCCATGGGATTCTCCAGGCAAGAATACTAGAGTGGGTTGTCATTTCCTCTTCCAGGAAATCTTCCTGACCCAGGGATAGAACCCGAGTCTCTTGCATCATCTGGCAGATTCTTTACCACTGAGCCACCAGGGAAGTGTCCTATGTATGTGGAAATGTCTATTGAGGACCTTTAAGTTAATAGATAATGATGTTCCAATTAAAATTTCTTTTTCACCTTACCTAACTGAGCTCTTTGCATTCATTTGGATATTAATTTATATTTTAATAATTGTCCACAATAAACAGTACTAAATCTAAGAATAAACATAAGCATTGATAATTATTTTTTAAATTCAATAAACTCTATTTTAGTAGAACTTATTAATGTTGAATAAACTATATCTAAAAACAAAACACTGGACTTTATGCTCATAGGGTGATAACCTATTATTCTGGTATAAAAAAATCAATTTTCCAGGAATCATACCAAACATTTGAAGAACAGACAGTTTCAACACTATTCAATTTTTTCCAGAGTCATATAAAAAGGGAAGATTCCCAGGTTATTTTAAATGGGAGTAACAGTAATTGTAAAACTTGACAGAGATAGTATACAAAAGGAAAACTCAGACTAATCTTCCTTATGAATGAAAATGCAAACGCAGAACTCCAGAAATGAAAGGATGGATCAACATTAAGAGAGTAATTATTATAATCCATAATTTCTAATTATAATCCACCATTTCTTCATGCAGAAAATTTTATGATTGTCCTCTTATATACTGAAAAAGCATTTGAAAAGCATGAATATATATTTTAATTTTTAGAAGACAATAAAATAGGAGCCCATAGATACTTCTTTAACATTATATTTATATCTATGTATTGATGTCTATATCTGTCAATATCCACCAAAGACCATTATGCTAATAGGGAGATATGAGAAGCATTCTATTACATTTGGGGACAAAACCATTATGTGCACTACCACAACTTTTGTGCAGTGTTAATTAGCCAATGCCATTAGATAAGAGAAAGAAATTAGAGGGATAAAAGCTGAAGAACATAGGGCCATATTCAAGAGAATCCAATGAAAACCTATTATAAACAATAGAAGAATTCGGATTGAATACGAACAGTTGTATTAACAGCATTGTATGAAGTCAGAATTAATATCACAAAAATGCAGTTTCCTAATATAACGAACAATCAAAGAAAATACCCAATTTTCAATAGCAACAAAAAGTTAAAATATCTAAGATAAGCCAATCTGAGAAAAAAGTTTAAATAATATTGAAGGACACAGAAGAAAAATAAAATGGAAAGACATATTTTTGAAGGGAAGAAAGCTGTCAATTTTCTCTAAGTTATTTTATAAACTTAGTGAGGTATCAATTTAAAAAAACCCAAGAGATTAACTTAATCTGGAGACTAACTTAACTTCATTGGAACTTAAAGTTCCAGTGAAAAAATAAGTAAGAAGAGCCAGGAAATAAAAATCTGAAAAAGAAGAGCAATAGGAAGGGCACTCCAGATATGAAATCATTATAGAGCCTCAAATAAAAACAGAGTTATACTGACATATAATTAGATCAAGGGTACAGAATAGAAGATCTGAAAGTAGATGCAAACACATATTAGAATTTAGTTGGTGATGAACTGGCCTCTCAACTAAGGGAGAAGAATGGGGATGTTTCAATAAAGAGACATTGGGATAACTGGGTGATAATTTATTTTTAAAAAGAGTCACGATTTCTACTATATACCAACATAAGCTCTAAATCAATCAAGAATTTTAAAAAAATCAAAGCCATAAGTGTTCTAGAAGAATACATTCATAAATGGCTTTATGCTTTTGGCATGAGGATTAGAACAATCAAGATTCAAAATCCAGAAGCCATGACAGTATACTGACATATGTGATTACATTAAAAAATAAGCAGTGTGCATGGCTAAAACAACTAAGTACAAAGTCAAAGGGCCATTGACCAGCTAGGAAAAATGTTTGCAACTGATATTACAGAGGGCCAATGTCTCTAATATATAAAGAGCTTCCCAAAGTTGATAAGGATAAAGAACAACTTAACAGAAAAATCAACAAACATAGTTCAGAGCAAATAAAATTCAAATGGCTTTCAAACATTTGGAAAGATTCCTAATAGTAATCAAAATAAGAGATGTAAATTTAAACAAGCTATCATTTCTATCTACTGGATTGTAAAAAAGAAATCTGATATTATCATTTGTATGCTATACTGCTATTTCTCGGCATTTGTATGCGATGCTATGCAAGTCTTCCCATTCATTACTGGCAGGGATACATATTGGTGCAACTATGGAGGACAATTTGGCAATATCTATCAGAAGGACAGATGCATTTACCCTTTTACCCAGTAATCCCACTGCTGGGACTTTTAAAATTATTATTATTTTGGCCATACCACATGGCTTGTGGGATCTTAGTTCCCTGACTAGGGATCCAATCCAGGCCCTCGGCAGTGAAAGTGCTGTCTTAATCACTGGACTTCCAGAGAGTTCCTGGGACTTTATACTTTATATATACCTGTGTGCACACTAAATGTCCAAGACTATGTACAAGGTTACTCATTGTAATGGGCTTCCCAGGTGGCTCAGTGGTAAAGAATCTGCTGGCCAATGCAGAAGATGTGGGTTTGATCCCCGTGTGGGGAAGATCCCCTGTAGGAGGAAATGCAACACACTCCAGCATTCTTGCCTGGGAAGTCCCATAGACAGAGGAGCCCGGCAGACTACAGTCCATAGGGTCGCAGAGAGTCAGACACAACTGAGGACCCAGTGAATGAGCGTGCACGCATTGTAATATTCTTGTAATGGCAACAAGTTGAGGCAGGGACTTCCTTAGTGGTCCAGTGGTTGAGAGCCTGCCTTGTAGCACTGGGGTTGCAAGTTCCATCTCTGGTCAGGGAACCGGGATTTCACATGCCATGGAGCAACTGGAGAATCCATGCTTTGCAATGAAAGGTCCCACATGTTGCATCTAGGACCCTACACAGCTAGGTAAATAAATATTTATTTTTAAAAAGTTGGAGCAAACACGCAAGAACCCATCAACAGGGACTTATGTCACATCCATAAGATGGCATGTTAGACAAATGTGGAAAAAAATTAAGGAAGTTCTTGGCATTTGTGTAGAAAGATCTCTCACACATATTGCTGGACAAAAAGATGTGAGGGCTGAACAAAAGGGGGAAATATTTGCTTGTGTTTGCACGAAGAAGTTCTGGAAAAATAGGTGAGGAACTGGCAAAAAAAAAAAAAAAGGTCTGTGTTAGGGGAGTAGGATGGAGCTGAAGAGGGAGGAAAAGAGCAAACAGGAGTAGAAGTGCTTTGGCATTTGGACTATGGGGATGTATTACCTAGTTAGAACTATTTTTTAAAGCAAATTGTCATTTTTCAGAGTCTGCTATTATTAGATTCTGAACTCTCAACGTGGTAAATAATCAGCTCAGCTTCGGTTTTGCAGTGGGAGTCCAGATTCTGTGGATAAGGAAATCCACTATTGATCGACAATAGTTTAGCTTCAGATTAAACACTATAAATGTTTCTTGAAAGAAATGTAATGACTCTCTGGAGTTTTGTCTGTGCCTGGCGTTATGGGTACTAGAGAAAGTCAGGGGTGAGAGTACTGGATCAGATTCAGCCAGCCCCGAACGACCTCCATCCTGGTGTCCTAAACTGTTAGGTGCCCTCACCTGATTTCCTGTAGTTGGAAAAAGCATCAGTCCAGATACTTTAGTGTATCTGTTTAATGATTTCCCTAGCTCATCTACTGTATAGCACAGGGAACTCTGCTTAATATTGTGTAACAGCCTAAATGGGAGAAGGTTTTGAAAAAGAATAGACACTAGACACGTGTATATTTGTGTAAAAGAATCACTTTACTCTGCACCTGAAACTAACACGTTGTTAATCAACTATACTCTAAAATACTCTTAAAATGTTTACTTATTGGACTTCCCTGGTGGTACAGTGGTTAAGAATCCATCTGCCGACAAAGAGGACTTAGGTTCCATCCCTTGTCTGGGAAGATTCCACATGCCACGGAGCAACTGACCCCATGCGCCACGACTGCTGAAGCCTGTATGCCTAGAGCTTGTGCTCTGCAACTAGAGATGCCATCAAAATAAGAAGCCGGCGTATGACAGCTGGAGAGTAGGTTCTGCAACTACAGAAAAACCTGTGCGAAGCAATGAAGACCCAATGCAACCAAAAATAAATTAATACAGTTTTAAAAAATTTTACTTATTTAGGCTGCACTGGGTTGCAGCGTGTGGACTTTAGTTGTGGTATGCTTGCAGGATCTAGTTCTCCAAGCAGGGATTGAACCCAGGCCTCCTGCATTGGGAGTGCCCAGTCTTACCCACTGGGCCACCAGGGACTCCCTAAAATAAATTAAAAAAAACACATTCACACACATACACAAACACAAAAGATTTCCCTAGATCCATGGTGAGATTAGTATGGATATGAAGTTCTGTGAGAACCCTGAGGAGAGAACAAACATGGGGCTTCTGGAGGGACTGGAAGGACTGAGATGTCAAAAGTAGGTTTTTTTGGAATTCTCTTGCTTTTTCTAAGATCCAGCCAGGTCTTAGTTGTGGCACACAGAATCTTCCACCTTTGTTGTACCATGTGGGAACTAGCACCCCAACCAAGGAATCCGCCTGCAATATGGGAGACCTGGGTTCGATCCCCGGGTTGGGAAGAAACCTTGGAGAAGGGAACAGCTACCCACACCAGTATTCTGGCCTGGAGAATTCCATGGACACTACAGTCCATGGAGTCGCAAAGAGTTGGACACGACTGAGCGACTTTAACTTTCAAACGTAGAGGAGGGCATTCGAGTCCCAGGGCACACCTGCACAAAGGCACAGAGACCCCAAGTCACATGCAGAGTTTCCTCTGGGGCACATGAAGTGGTTGGCACTTTATTGACATCTAGTCTGGCCCCTGTCATTGATTAAGTGTCAAGTAGAATATCAAAGAAATGAAAGGGACACATTGTCTCCACATAATTTCCTTGGGAAGCATATCCCATTATGTAATTAAAAATAAGAGCTATTTGGTGATGAGGAGGTGCTATGAACATCAAATGCTTTAGTGACATGCTCCACTTAGCAGCAGGCGTAGTCTGTGTGGCTTGCAGGGCTGTGCAGTAGAGACCGCGAGACAGTCTGGTGTCTGAGACAGCACCAGGTCCAGGCCTCGGCTCTGCCACTCCCCAGTGGTGTGACCATGGGCCAGGCGCTTGACCTGTTTGAGTTCCCATTTACTCATATGAAAAAGACAACAGTCAGTATATCTGCCTTGCAAAATTGTGAGAACCATAGAGGCATGTCAACTCCTGGGTATAAATGGTGTGTTTTCTTATTTTATACTTATACTACTTATTTTATACTTCCTGTTTGGTTTCTAAAGCTGCATGCTTAAACATATCCTTATGTCTTCTGTCCATCCAAAGATGCATGTTTCCCCCCATCTTGTAAATATTTATTTATTTACTTTTGGCTGTGATGGGTCTTGTTGCTGCTTAGGCTTTTCTTTAGCTGTGGCCAGTGAGGGCCACTCTCTTGTGGCAGTGCGTCGGCTTCTCATCTTGGGGGCTTCTTTTGTCCTGGAGCACAGGCTCTAGATGCTCAGGCTTCCGTGGCTGTGGCACGTGGGTTCAGTAGCTGTGGCTCCCAGCCTCTAGAGCACAGGCTCAGCGGTTGTGATGCATGGGCTTAGCTGCTCCGCAGCATACGGGATCTTCCTGGATCAGGGATTGAATCCGTGTCTTCTGCATTGGCAGGAGGGTTCTTTACCACTGGGAGTCACCAGGGAAGCCCTCCTCCCACCTTTTAACATCTCCAAAATCCGGATGTGTCTCATCATAGATTCCATCTCCTACTTATCACCATCCGGGTTACAGGCAAAACGAAGTTAAGCAAACATCTGGTACCAGTGAGAAAGCACCACGGCAAGGAACAATAAACAACCACCAATGCAATATGGGTAATTTCACTGGAAATCGACACTACAGATCCAGACTCTAGCATGTGATCTGATGTCACCACCACAGAACGACAACAGTCTCTTCATTCCTCCCCCCACCTCTTTGGAACAAATGATCGTTGACATAAGTTTAAAACCCTACAGGGCAAAGTTTATTCTCATGTCACAACACTGCTCCCTGCTCCCTCATGTCAAAGGGAAGACTCTTTGTTATGGATGCAGTCTTAGATAGATCTGTAAGGGAGTGATGCTTCAGGAGAGTTATCTCAGAGTCTAATCTCAGCATCTCCCAGTGCAGGGCTGCATGGAGTTTCCTTCCAGTAAAGTTCTCATAGCTCCATCTTCTCCACTGATATTTAATGACCACCTTCTTCTTGGAAGGGTTCTTCCTACTTCCATCAGTGGGGACTGTTCAGGGGCATTTTGAGATTCAGGTGCTTTAAGAGTAGCAAGGGAAAGAATAAGTTCTCAACCAGCTACAATAAGCACATACTTTATGCCATTTCATTTATTCCTCACCATAAGAGATGTGCTATTTTTGTAAACATGGATTTCTGTTCGTTTTACAGATGAGGGAACAGTCTTAGGTTAAGAAATTTACCAGGGTCATAAACATAATAAGCACATAGGCTTAGCTGAAGTGTGCCCGACTATCAAGGCTTCTTTTCCCTCAATGTAATATAATAATATTGGCAAAAGAATGTATATAAAATATGTAATTTATAATAATTAACAAGATTACAATTTAAGTATGAGTATTTAGCAATTTTGATTAATTACAACTAATAAGAAAAATGTGACCTTTGCCATTAAATGTATAATCTTTTCCACATCTAGTGACACCAGGATGTCTGAAATACACCCCTGAATCGCTCCAGAAGGAACTGTTCTTGCAGAATGAAGGTTTGGAGGAATTAATAAATAGGCAAATAGACCCATTCTCCCAGGGAATTTTAATCCTTTCTACAAGCTGGGCTGTGGACCTGAACTTGGAAGAGAAGCAAGGAGTCATCTGTGATGCTCTGCTGATAGCGCAGAACAGGCCGCCCATTCTCTACACCGTCCTCCGGGAGCAAGACGCAGAGGGGCAGTCCTATTGCACTCGCGTCGCGTTCACGCTGAAGCAGAAGTTGGTGAACATGGGAGGCTACACTGGAAATCTGTGTATCACGACCAAGGTCCTCCACCTGAGTCCCGAGCGCAGCGCAGAGTCCTCGGCGGGTTCAGGCTCTGTGATTGATTACCCCAGCTCCTATCACCTAGCAGACACTCAGCAAATGGAAGCTTTGCTTCAGTCGCTTGTGATCGTCTTGCTTGGCTTCCGGTCTCTCTTGAGTGACCAGCTCGGCTGTGAGGTTTTAAATCTGCTCACAGCCAAGCAGTATAAGATCTTCTCAAAAAACCTGCGCAAGAACAAAGAGTTGTTTATCCATGGCTTACCTGGCTCAGGGAAGACGATCATGGCCATAAAGATCATGGAGAAGATCAGGAACACATTTCACTGTAAGACAAATGAAATTCTCTACATTTGTGAGAACAAGCCTTTGAAGAATTTTATCAGGTAAGCAGTTGAATCTCTTTTTTTTTTTTTTTGGCCGTACCACACCGCTTAATGGGATTGAACCCAGGCGCACTGCGCCAAAAGGGCCGAATTCGAATCATTGGACGGCCAGGGAAGTCCCAGCAGCTGGATCTTATTGTCAGCAAATGAAGTTCTGCCTAAATTCACTCCACATCCCCGACAACCTGAATCACCTTGTTTCTTGCGAGTAAGATGGTAAAATGATCTGTGGCAACAATACCATGTTTGTAGCTGCTGCTAAGTTGCGGAGAAGGCGATGGCACCCCACTCCAGTACTCTTGCCTGGAGAATCCCATGAACGGAGGAGCCTGGTCGGCTGCAGTCCATGGGGTCGCTAGGAGTCGGACACGACTTCACTTTCACTTTCACTTTTCACTTTCATGCACTGGAGAAGGAAATGGCAACCCACTCCAGTGTTCTTGCCTGGAGAATCCCAGGGACGGGGGAGCCTGGTGGGCTGCCGTCTCCCTGGGATTCTCCAGGCAAGAACACTGGAGTGGATTGCCATTTCCTTCTCCGCATGTTTGTAGGAGTATGATCATTTTCGTCCTTTACTGACCCAAGAGAAAACCGGGATGTGTCTTTTTAATTTTCACAGGGACAAAAATATCTGCCAGGCAGTGACCCGGAAGAGCTTCATGAAGTATGACTTTACACACATTCAACACATCATCATCGATGAAGCTCAGAATTTCCGCTCTGAAGATGGGAATTGGTATAGAAAGGCGAAAACCATCACTCAGAGAGACACGGATTGCCCAAGAATTCTCTGGATCTTTCTGGACTACTTTCAGACCAGCCACGTGGAGGACATCGGCCTCCCTGCTCTCTCAGCCCAGTATCCAAGGGAAGAGCTCACCAGAGTCGTACGCAATGCAGATCAAATAGCCAGATACCTACAACGTGTATTGCAGAGGGTCAGGAAAAATCCTCCACGTAACATCCCTCATGAGCCCCTGAAGATGTGTCTTGAAGCTAAATGGGCTCGGGATGTTCAGGGAACCTTGAATATTAAGAAGGACTTAACTCTGAATGCAATAGTGATGTATGTGGCAGACACGTGCAAGCTTCTCTTTGAAAGGGGCTATTCTCCCAAGGATGTTGCTGTGCTTGTCAGCACCGCAAGAGATGTGGAGAAATACCAGCAGGAGCTCTTGAAAGCAATGAGGAAGAAAGGGATAGTGTGTCTCACCAATGCGAGTGACGTGGGGGGTGATCACATTGTGTTGGACAGTGTCCGAAGATTCTCAGGTCTGGAAAGGAACATTGTGTTTGGGATCCATCCAAGCACCGTGAAGGCAGCTATCTTATATAACATTCTTGTCTGTCTGGCATCCAGAGCGAATCAACAGCTACATATTCTGTGGCAGCGTGACGTTTGAGAAGAATTCCAAACCAAAACAGGATGAGGTGATTTGCTCTGTCAGTATCCATGGGTGGCAATCTGACTGGTATTGGAAGAAACTTCTTTTCCATTCATGGGTCAGCTAGAGATTTGGGCAGAGCTGACATACAGAATCTAGAACTTCCCTCTCTGGCTCTCTCCTTTTAGGGATTCCTCCCCAAACTACTTCTGACAGCTATTGTCCCAAATTCTGACTCTGATTCTTCGACCAGAATGATAGTGGTTTTCTAAAGGAGCTTTAATCACCCTGCAGAGCCCAGACTGTGACCTGCCCTTTGGCTAAAAGCCATAAAAACAACACATTCGTCCTGTGGTCATTGTTTCTTCTAAGTCTGGACCCTCATAGTGTATTTTTTTAAAAATTTGTCCAGGATCTATAGTTAATCTGCAGAAGGATGTTCTGGTTGGGACTACTTGACCACATTAGAAGCAGAATTCTTGTTTCCAGAATTCTTGACATTTCTCTGTGTTGCATTGATCCAGGATTTGGGAGGTTCCCAAGATAGTTCAGACAGCAACTGAGTGGGTCTTAATAATTTTTGGCAGAACATAGAGGACTGTACAATTATTTAATCCTTTAAAATTGTAAGTTCCCTTTTTTTTGGTCCTCAGAATATCCTAGATCAAGCTTTAATATGATAGTAAGCATTGATTGTCACTTTACAAAGAAATTATAAGCCAATATAAAACAAAACTAGAGCCATTTTCTCTTTCAGTGAGAGCATTAGAGACCAAAATCTGCTTCTAAAGGTGCACACGAGTCATTAAGTAAATAGAACTAGGAAAAATACAGTCTTTACAGAGCAGCTTCTCAACTCTGCTCTACTTAATGTTCTATAACATATCAACTTAAATTTTAAGTCAAGTATATTCTTGAACTATAATTTCCCCCTTTGCTTTTATATTTTGGTGGGCCAGTCTTATGGACTGAATGTTTGTGTCCTTCCAAAATTCACAGATTGAAGCCCTTAATGTTTAGTGTGGATATATTTGTAGATTTGTAAGGAAGTCATTAAGGTTAAATGAGGTCATAGGATGGGGTCTTGATCTCCTAAGATTGGAGACCTTATAAGAGACACCCAAGAGCTCTTTCTGTCTCTTTCTCTGTCCACACACAAACACAAGGTCATGTGAACACAGAGAGAGATGGTGGCCACTTTCAAGTCAAGAGAAGAGGCTCCAAGATGAAACAACTCCTACTGACACCACGATCTTAGATTCCCAGCATCTAGAACTTTGTGAAGTAAATTTCTGTCCTTTAAGCCATCCAGTCTGGGGCATTTTGTTCTTACAGCCTGAGCAGACTAACATAACCACAGAATTATTCTTCTAATTAAAACACATACTTAATAATGTTAGTGTTAGTTGCTCAGTCATGTCTGACTCTTTGTGACCCCATGGACTATAGCTCACCAGGCTCCTCTAACCATGGAATTCTCCAGGCAAGAATACTGGAGCGGGTAGCTAATCCCTTCTCCAGGGGATCTTTCTGACCCAGGGATGGAACCCAGGCCTCCCACATTGCAGGCAGATTCTTCACCATCTAAGCCACCAGGGAAGCCCTGCTACTTAATAACGCTAATGCATTTCTTATTTTTCTGTCCATACAAAACATCTGAAAAATGTTTCTAGTCTAAAAAATAACCATAAAACATTTGTACAACTAATGGAAATTTAAAACATTACATGACTAATATTCCACTTATTACTAGTCCTATTCTACTCCCCTTCTCCCATATTATAAGTTGTGACTTTTTCTTTCTCCTGTCTCTGCTTGCACATGGAATTTCATCCTCTTGACTTGAAACTGGAGGCTCTTCTAACTTCAGCAAAATAAAGAAAAAGTGTTCTTTCTTTCTGAGTGCATTAAATCAGTTACAACACTGTACCAAATAGTTATCCTTGTAAATGCTGTTTCTAAAAAAATTGGTTTTGTAAGGTCCCTGGACTTGGAGTTGCAATGTCTACAAAAGTAATTCTTTTAAAGTCTAATTCTGGAGCAAAGCCTGCCACCATGTCCTGCCCACTGTCCACTGCACACAGTGGGGTTTCTCTCCAGAAACTTGCTTCAGGCCTGTAAACTCCCCCATCCATTAAACCATTGGTTCTCTGTTGCTGACTCCAGCCTGTTTCTTCAGTCTTGAAGCTGGGCAAACACAGGCCTTGTAGGCCTGAGGGTGCAGTCCAGAAACTGGTGGAACCAACCAAGAAACTGAAGAAACTCCCACTAGTGCCAAGATGTTGGAAAACACAGGATGGGGAATGGAAAGCTGCAGGGACTGTCCATGAGCCTGTGGGGCCTGGAAGTTGCAGGGGTAATCCTGGGGTGTCTGTCCTTGCTGAAGGGGGGCCACCAAGAGATCTGGAGACCAATGGCCTCTGATGGCTCTGCTGTTGTATCAGAGTGAGCCTTTGTCATTGGCAAAGCTATCTTTCAAGAAGGATTTGGTCTTTCTCTTGTGCCTCTGAGATGTAAATAATCTATCTGGGCTTTCTGGAACTTTAATCTTACATGAGCTCTAAGGGTAAAGAAGGGAAAAAAAGCTTTTAGGTAAACTCTGTAGAAATAATTATGTTTTGGGAATGTCTACCTAAAATAGTCTCCCTAGATTTTGGTGACTTTGAAAATGAAGTTGAAAGAAGAGAATTTGTGAGTCATTTCAAACAGGATAAAATAGTGAAGTATTAATTGCTGGGCAAGTCTAAGTTTACCTACCTTTGTTTGCTTAGGAAAGGAAGGCTAAACATTAAGTTTTCCAATTAGGAAGAGCATAATTACTTGCTTCTTGTGTTGTTTTTTTTTTTTTTTTTTGCCAGAGATTAAGATTCTCAAGGGTTAAGATTATAATCAGTCATAATTTTTGTAACCAAGTTTCTTTATCCATCACATCGTGATTGTGTCTTTTTTTAAAAGACTTTTGTTATTGCTGTACTCTGATGTTTTAGCAAAACTGCTTCATCTTCAAGAAGATTTGTAGGAAGGGCCTCTTGACCATAACAGTTCTGATAAATTTCATCTTATACTGCTGAACTGATAGATCAGTTGGTAAAGAATCTGCCTGCAATGCAGGAGAACCTGGTTCGATTCCCGGCTCAGGAAGATCCACTGGAGAAGGGATAGGCTACTCACTCCAGTATTCTTGGGCTTCCCTGTGGCTCAGCTGGCAAAGAATCCACCTGCAATGCAGGAGACTGGGGTTCGATCCCTGGGTTGGGAAAATCCCCTGGAGAAGGGAAAGGCTACCCACTCCAGTATTCTGGCCTGGAGAATTCTATGGACTGTAATCCATGGGGTTGCAAAGAGTTGCACACAACTGGGCGACTTTCACGGAATACTGTTGAACTGGTTAAGAACTTGAAGAATTCTAATAGAAGACCTGATGGCTTCATAAAAAGTTAACAGAAACACTGGTTACTGAATGACCTGGTAAATATGGTTCTAACATTTATGGGTTTTGTCTGGAATGTTACTGTTTTTGATCTGTGTTTTTCAGATATGAAGAAGCTCTTTCACTCAAGATGGGTATGATTTATAGCCATTTGGTAAACTACACCTGTGGGTAGAATTAAAACATTTTTCATCTCTACCTGTCCCTCAAGAAGTTAGAGATCCTTAGGTTCTGAGCAGCCTTCTCAGGTGGTGATAGAGACTATCTCCGGGCATATGCAGGAATCTTAATATTTTGGGGACTGAGAAATCCATCACGTATAGCCTGAGAGCAGGCCTTTGGCATGGCTTTGCTGGCTTCTAGGGGTCTTTTGGGAATTCTGTCTGAGACTCCCAAGGAGTTCTCCCTCAGTCAGTTTGGAGGAGTATCATTGCATGGTGAGACTCTGTGGTCAATTGACCAGGCTTATTTTGCAAACAGTTACTTTTGATGGGCTGTGTTTCGTGGAATGAGGGTAATTTTAGAGAGAACAATATTCCAGTTCTGTTAATTGAGCTCTGTATTTATGAAAGTTACTGTGCTAGCCATACTTTTGCCCTGATGTTCTGGATGGAAAGAAAAAATTATCTGGTGAAACTGTCACAGAGTAAAACTACTCATGAAGTGTGACACTGTTTGCTTTAAATCTATGACTAAAAACACATGTAGGGGTGCTTCCCTGGGGGTCCAGTGATTAAGAATCGGTAGGGGACACAGGTTCAATTCCCGGTTTGGAAGATCCCACATGGTGTGTGGAAAGCTAAGCTCGAGTGCCACAGCTACTGACCCCACGTGCCCTAGAGCCCATGCGTCGCAACAAGAGAAGCCACTGCAGCGAGAAGCCCACGCACTGCAACAGAGAGTAGCCCCTGCTCGCCCCAACCAGAGAAAGCCGCACACAGCAACCCAGACCCAGCGCACTCAAAAAGCTTTTTTTTTCTTTCTCAAAAAGCTGTACAGAAGCACACACATAAAATAAGCAAATTTTAAAAAGAAAAAAGCTCACATAGGGGCTTCCCTGATGGTGTGTGTGTCAGGTGCTCAGTCGTGTCCAGTTCTTTGGGACGCTATGGACTGTAGCCCTCAAAGCTCCTCTATCCATTGGGATTCTCCAGGCCAGAATGCTGGAGTGGATTGCCATGCCGTCCTCCAGGGGATCTTCCCTACCCAGGGATCGAAACTGCATGTCTTACGTCTCCTGCATTGGCAGGTGGGTTTTTAACCCACTAAACCCCCTGGGAAACCTCTGATGGTCCACTGGTTAAAACTCTATGCTTCTACTGCAGGGGGGCTTAAGTCTGATTCCTGATCAGGGAAGTTCCACATACTGCATGACGTAGCCCCACCCCCCAAAAAAGAAAAATTTAAAAAGCATATGTAAAGTGCTTGTGTAACAATTGCATAAAATATATGGCCTCTAAAGTGTTTCCTCATTAACATAACTTCTGAGCATGTTCACGAGATCTGATTAGATTTCCCTCAATATGAATGATTAGGTGAATATAAAGGAGGCCTAGGGACACAATCTGAATCTAGATTAGAAGCCAACACCCTACTGAGGGTTGGATATTTTAATCATCAGTGCTTTCTATTGAAAGATTTGCAATTAAAAAGAGAAGTGGTGGAAGAACATGCACATATTGAGGAAGTCAGACAATTTATACATGGCTGAACTTAAATTTTACTGACCAGAGCAGCCCACCCTGTGGTCCTTCAGACATGCACTGTACATCTGCTTTGGCCATTGGGAAAGGGAAGGCATTCAAAAGTCAAACGGGAGTAGCTGTGGTTCAGACAACCAAATTAAAACTAAGTGGCCTCTGTATACATAATTTTGGACATGCTCTTATATTACTGAAAACTTGAGTTTTTAAAAAAATTAATTTATTTAAATTGGAGGCTAGTTACTTTATAATATTGTAGTGGTTTTTGCCATACATTGACATGAATCAGCCGTGGGTGTACGTGTGTTCCCCATTCTGAATCCTCCTCCCACCTCCCTCCCCATCCCATCCCTCAGGGTCATCCCAGTGCACCAGCCCTGAGCACACTGACTCATGCATCAAATCCAGACTCGTGATCCGTTTCACATATGATAATATGCATGTTTCAATGCTATTCTCTCAATTCATCCCACCCTCGCCTTCTCCCACAGAGTCCAAAAGTCTGTTCTTTACATCTGTGTCTCTTTTGCTGTCTCACATATAGGGTGATCGTTACCATCTTTCTAAATCCCATATATATGTGTTAATATACTCTATTGGTGTTTTTCTTTCTGACTTATTTCACTCTGTATAATAGGCTCCAGTTTCATCCACCTTAATAGAACTGATTCAAGTGCATTCTTTTAATGGCTGAGTAATGTTCCATTGTGTATATGTACCACAGCTTTCTTATCCATTCATCTAGGTTGCTGCCATGTCCTGGCTATTATAAACAGTGCTGCGATGAACACTGGGGTACATGTGTCTCTTTCCATTCTGGTTTCCTCGGTGTGTATGCCCAGCAGTGGGATTGCCGAGTCTTACGGCAGTTCTATTTCCAGGTTTTTAAGGAATCTCCACACTATTCTCTATAGTGGCTGTACTGTTTGCATTCCCACCAACAGTGTAAGAGGGTTCCCTATTCTCCTCACCATCTCCAGCCTTTATTGTTTGTAGACTTTTTGATAGCAGCCATTCTGACCAGCATGAGATGGTACCTCATTGTGGTTTTGATTTGTGTTTCTCTGATAATGAGTGATGTTGAGCATCTTTTCATGTGTTTGTAAGCCATCTGTATGTCTTCCTTGGAGAAATGTCTGTTGAGTTCTTTGGCCCATTTTTTGATTGGGTCATTTATTTTTCTGGAGTTGAGCTGGAGGAGTTGCTTGTATATTTTTGAGATTAATCCTTTGTCTGTTGCTTC